GACAATGAATTGAAAACGTGCATAAACAGAAAATAGAGCAAAAAAGAACGAAAGACAACCAAAAATGATATCGCAGTTCGGTGTGCACACCTACATCTGCGGGGCCACGCCCAGACAGTGAACAATCCACTAAGTTCAAAGAATTACAATCACCAATCGGTCTTACACACTCAAAGACTCCCTCCTTGATGTCATCGCCACTGTGTAGAATCCTCTTAGTGGCTTTGTCCAGTGAGTGCCACTCGACTTCGAAAGCTTTCTCCTGAAAGCGATACAAGTTTCTTCAAAAAGCCAAATCGTTCAATCACCAATTAAGCATCACCGAAACACTACTTTTCTGTAGGTTCTATTCTACTCAAAACCATTCACGTTCATCACACTATCACCCCAAAATACTCACCCCACCGAATGCACAAAATCAGCCACCCTCACTACTTCTTTCCTTTTTCCACGATGACCACATATACAACCAATTATATCCCCAAAAGATTACTTTTCAAAAAAGAGAACCAATTCTTCTATAGAAAGAATCAACCCAAGAGATGTCAAACATTCCAAATCTGGTGCAAAAATCCAAAGATAGAATCTTCATAGCTATTAGAACCTTTTACCAAAAATTGCCAACTAACAAAAGTCCTAACAGTTGTGATCCTTTAACATATTTAATATTATCCCCGATCTTCTCATTGACTTATCAATACATTTCAAACCTTCTTGCACAACGAGATTGAGAATATCGGCACAACATCTCAAATGAGAGAATTCACCATGGTAAGGTAGTAAAAGCCACACAAGTTCAATTAGTTTTGCAATGCATCCATAGAGACATTATTAAAAGCAGTATTATCTAAAGTGATATTGAAAATATTTCCCTCAATTTCCCAATTACTCAACAAATCAAACATCTTCTCAGATAGTGCAACACCAATGTGTGGAGGTGGCATAATATAAAAGTTCAATAGTCTCTTATGCAACTTCCAATTCTTATCAAGAAAATGGGCAATCAAGCGTTACCATTCCATTGCAGACTATGAGTTTACTCTGCTTCCTCCTTGCTACCTTTCTAATGGCCTTGGTGGCTGTGGTGATTCTAGAAAGAGCCGGATCAGGAATAAGGTCTAGTGCATCCTCAGCACAATGCAAAGCAGCCGCTTGGCGAATCAGCTCATCAAGCTATTCGTCATCGCTGGTCCCCATTTAGACGACCCCGAGCAGGAAATGGGAAAGATCTTTCTAACACAAACAGAAACCGCAGAAGGAACCGAAAAACCAAAACGAGAGACAAAGGAGCAAAGCTGAAGTTATAGTGTCTAAGGAAGCCCAAAGAGAGACATCAAACAAAACAGCGCCAATATCAAGAAGATAGAGAACAACCAAAGAAAACACAACCCGAGGAATAGGAAAGAAACAAACTAAAAGCACACCTAGGTGCTATAGAGAGTAAATCTCAATCAGGGCAAGATATCCACCACGTCTATGTCCTCTTTGATCAAATCTTCATGAGTACTACCCGGCCGGGTTTCATGTAAATCATTACTAGTACTTGCTTTCGGTTATTCTTGCTAGTAGTACATGACTAAACTAATGATTGACTCGTTGAAGGGACCGAGTTCACTCGACTACATTCACCTTTAGAGACATGTCTGATTCATACTTGTTACCTTTATTTACTATTTAAATAATGGGAAATTTGTCTTCTAGGTAAGAGAGACTCTAAAACATGGACGTTGGTCTTTTTGGGTTATTAGAGGTGAGAGGAAAGGTTATTGGGCACATCCACTTTTGACCAATTAATTTAAAACCCCCAAGTGGGATTTAACACTAAATTGGACCAAAGATGAATGAGCCATTTCCTTACTCATGGCCACCAAATCACGGCCCACTAGAGTTCAACGAGCGTGGATTGGATCCACAAAACTATCTCATTTACATCGTATGACTCAAGCTTAAATGGGAATGCTGTGTGAAATTCATACTCCAAAGTAGTGGTGGAACTTTGGGCCGGCGGGCATGCCGCTGCCCGAATTTTTCGGGCTCGGCGGGCAGGCCCATATGCCGGCCCATCCAAAGTGAAAATTCGGGCTCGGGTTCGGGCAGCCCGAATTTGGGCACCTCGCCGGAGCACGCCGCCGTGTAGGCGCCATCAACCGCCGTCCGCCGGAGTTTTTTTGAATTTTTCCGGCAAAGCCTGATTTGCCCGAATGCCCGACTTGCCCGATGCCCGAAAATCGTGAAAAAGGGTCAAAATTCAGACCGTTTGTGCTCGACCTGAATTTTGGCCGAAAACCCGAATTTTGCCAAATTACCTGACATGCCCGAGCTACCCGAATGCCCGAAAACCCGTTCAACGGCTATTTTTTGCCCGAACTCGCCCGAACCCACCCGAACCCAACCCGCCGAACCTAAAGTAGCCGCTGCACCCCGAATTTTTTAATATATAATACCATTTTAAATGTAATTGATGAATTTAGATTAAGAGGTAAAGTCATGGCTATAACATTAAATAATGCTAGAGTCAATACAAAAGCAATTGAGTTCTTTGAAAATGATTTAAGTTTATTCGGTGACAGTATAATTTTCCACCAACGTTGTGCATGCCACATAATTAATTTAATTGTTAAAGCTGGTTTAAAAGAAATGGGTAATCACATTAAAAGATTAGAGATAGTCTTAACCAAAGACAAGAAGATTGGTTTAGGTTCTTACAAGCATTAAATATACATCCTAGAGCGTTAGATATGCCTATAAACTGAAACTTAACTTACATAAAGCTTTAACAATGCATCCCCTATAAGGATGCTATAACAAACTATATGTGTGCAAAAGTAGGAGTAAATCATATAGACGCATATGATTGGCAAATTGCTGAAGTTTTGTATCAATTTTTAGGTAGGTTTCATGAAGTGACTCTAAAACTTAGTGGAACATATTATCCAACATCACCTTTAGCTTTAGGAGAACTTTTACGAATTAGTATTTTATTTAGCGAATATAGGGAGGACCCAATCTTAGTAGTTCCTATCGATTCAATGGAAAATAAATTTATAAAATATTGGTCTAAGTTGCCTTTATTGTATGGTTTAGGTACTATTTTTGATCCTCGATTAAAATTAGAAGGTTTAGAAAGTGGTTTAAATAACTTAAGTGAATTTTTAGGCATCAATTATTCGGACCAATATCCAATAATAAAGGAAAAAATATTTTCGATCTATAGTAAATATGAGATTAGGTTTAGAGTAACTCCTAGAGTACAGGAACCACAACAATAAGATGAAAACCCGCATTCATTCTTGAATATTTTCGGGTTGAAGAAGAAGAAGAAAACAACTCAAACAGAAGCTAGGAGTGAATCTTCGTCAACAAGTGGCAGTGGTAGCAGCGGCGGCAGCTTCAACGAGCTTATGGCGTACCTCAGTGAAGGCTTAGTAGTCGACGGTACGGCAGAATCGTTTGACTTAGTTCAATGGTGGAAGGCACGGGCATTAACTTGGCCAATCCTAACTCGATTGGCAATGGATATATTTTCGATC